CGTCCGCATCTACACTGTCGACAACAGCGCCAACCACGACGCCTGCATGGGCCTCCTCGCCGATGCCGGTATCTACCTCGCCCTCGACCTCAACACCCCCAAGTACTCCATCAACCGCGCCGAGCCCCAGAAGTCGTACAACAAGGTCTACCTCCAGAGCATCTTCGCTACCGTCGAGATGTTCGCAAAGTACGACAACACACTGCTGTTCTTCTCCGCCAACGAGGTCATCAACGACGACAAGACCACCAACTGCGCTCCCTACGTCAAGGCCGTGACCCGTGACATCAAGTCTTACATGAACGCCCGTGGTCTCCGCAAGATCCCCGTCGGTTACTCCGCCGCTGACGTCGAGAGCAACCGCTACGAGATGGCCGACTACATGAACTGCGGTGACGATGCCGCCCGCAGCGACTTCTTCGGTTTCAACGACTACTCCTGGTGCGACCCGTCTTCCTACACCGTCTCTGGTTGGGACCAGAAGGTCAAGAAGTTTGCCAACTACAGCATCCCCATTTTGTAAGTCGCTCAACTCCACTCTTCACAGTCATCCGCTAACATACTCAGCCTCTCCGAGTACGGTTGCAACAAGGGAACCCGAAAGTTCGAGGAGGTCAAGTCGCTCTACAGCACCGACATGACCGGCGTCTACTCCGGCGGTCTCGTCTACGAATACTCCCAGGAAGACTCCAACTACGGTCTCGTCGAGATCAACGGCGACTCCGTCAAGGAGCTCGCTGACTTCACCGCCCTCAAGGACGCTTTCTCCGCCACCAAGAACCCCAGCGGCGACGGCGGCTACAAGAAGGACGGCCAGCCCGCAACCTGCCCCGACCAGTCCAAGACCTGGGACGTCACCATGAAGAGCGACGAGCTTCCCGCTGTCCCCTCCGGTGCCCTCGACCTCATGAAGAAGGGTGCTGGTGACGGCCCTGGTCTCTCCGGCTCTGGCTCCCAGCAGGCTGGTTCTTCCGACGAGAACCTCGCTCCTGCCAACTCCGGTGCTGTTACCTCCGGCGGCAAGGTCCCCACTGCTACCGGTGGCAGCAGCCCCTCAGGCTCCGAGGGTGCCGCCGCTTCCATCCGCCCCGAGTTCAGCTTCGCTCCCCTCGTCTGCGGTGCCGTTGTCCTCGCCTCTTTGCTCTTCGGCGGTGCTCTCATCTTGTAAGAGTCTGCCAGTAGAGCTGCGTGTGTTTCTTCAATGTAATGCAACGACCCAGCGCGGGCAACGTTATTGGGATAGAATTGGTTCTTCCTTTCCAAGTAGCATTGGCTTTGAAACGCTTTTGTGATGGGAGTTGGTTGACTTTGTTGTCGGCCTGGCGTCTCATGTCACTGTTTTTTTCTTGTTGTTCTCTTTGTTTGAAGTATCTCAGTATATATCAGGAAATACAAACACATTGAAAAATCTACGTTGTTTTGTTGTGGGTGTGGTTGAGACGGTTGTGCGCTTGCTTGGTGCTGTGATGATACTGCACAGGACGGTCGTGGTATTGACGGGGCGCTGTGACCCGCTGGTCTGCATATAAAATCCTTCTGATTGTGGCAGTCCTCTTCCTTTCTTCATCACACAGTTTACCACTCTTTCTCAAAGTCCCGCAGGTCCTCAAGATGTCTCTGCTTCTGTTCCAAAACTACTACTTCACTCATCCATGTGTGCCTCTTTCTTCTGAGCTACCATTACCAAAACACGTCTGCTGCCCGTCCTCATAAAACCCGGTACAAAACGTAGCGAGAGATGTCTTATGATTCCAATTCCTCCTCGCGCGTACCAAAAGCAACCCGGTCATGATCCATGAGAATCGCGCCTGAAACCACACTTCTACATTCCACTTTAAAAACACACTGTCAACAACCACATGGCTCTGCGTCTTCTTCAAAAATCTACTCCAAACATTTCATGACTGTGCGGTGCGTTTCCAAAAACTACAACGTCGATGTCATGTCTTCTTCGAACTGCGCACTTCATCAAAACACCGTGCGGCGCGAGAAGACTGGGACTTTGGCTATAAAAGCTAGCTTTCTCACGCTGGTCTACTTGTCTTCTTATCTACACAACTCCAATCAATTCAACGAAAATGACGAACTTACCAGTCATGGGTGTTTCTCTCCTTCCGAGAAGTTGCACACTACAGAAATATGAGCGTCTCCTTTCCAAAACTAACAACGAGCTGGGGTATGTGCGGTGCAAGGTGTCAAGACTTTATTCCATGCTTTCGAGGCGATCAAGCTGTATAAATACCTCGCTTTCTGGGCTTTGTCTCTTGTACACCAACCTACTTCTTCATTTACCAAAAACTAATATGTAGTGTAGCTATGGTTCTGTTCTGCTCTTTCCTCCAAAAACAACGAGCTACCGATAGATGGTTCTGTTGCTCCAGCACTCAAAACAGTGCATTTTCCTTAGAATGCGCGGGCTGCTGCTTTGCTCCGAGTTCAAGAGAAAAGAGTGGGCTATGCTGTGATGTTTTGAGACTGTGTTGAACGGTTTCCATGAGCTTGGTTGGAGATGTCGAAGAGAGTATGGAAAAGAGCTATGCGATATGAGCATGTTGAGAGCAGGGGAAAGAAAAGAACAAGATCAGATCGTCATGTGTCTGAGGGTGCGATCGCGGTGTCTCAGCGAACACATGAATGAGAGCGTATAAAGTCTTCCACTCGACTTCTTCTCACCCTCCTCTCATCACACACCATCTCCTTTACTCAAAACTTCAACGGTATTATGGTATGTGTCTGTGATCCGAAGCAGAACCTCTTTGGCGTATGAGCGGCGAGACTACTTTTCTCCAAAACAAGCAATTCGTCGATTTGATGTCTCCGTCTCGCCTCCGAGTTACTTCACAAATCTGGCACCAGCAATTGCAATATATTTCCAGAATTTGGAAGATCTACTACATGCCTTCCCGGGCGCCTTGGCGCAATAGTCATATATAAACCGCCTTCTTCCCGGCTTCCTACTTCTATTATTCTACTTTCTACCTATCCAAAAGGGTGCTATCCAAAAAGACTAAGGTACTCCCCCATGTGGGCTTGCTCTGCTCTTCTCCAAAATCCATCAAAAAGGCATACATGGCTGTCTCTGCCTCGAGAAACAAGAAAAAGGATTCTTCATAGTCTACATGGACTTTCTCCTCTGCGCTGGCATCACTAAAAGCCGAGTGCAGATACTTCATGTCGTAGAAATTGCCGACTGTTGTTTTGGATGAGTGGCGCGCTGCCTGCAAAATGTTTGCCGAGTACTTTGATGGTTTTCCTGGCTTGAGGCCTCGGATCTACTATATGAGCGCCGTATTGTCCTTTACTCCTTCTTCAACACTTCCTCCGCTTGAGACCGAAAGGTTGTGGACGAAGGAACTATGACTGCTTCTCCGTTTCCAAAATCCTCCTCTAGCATACATATGGCTCTGGGGCTTCTGGCACCGAACTCAAGTATCGTAAAAAGGTCATGTTCTGTCCCGTCTTCCGTTGCGACATACTAAAACATGCGCTCGATCACTATATGTTTTTACACATTGCTACCAAGAAAACTCTGCCAGATATGGATATGATCCACACAGTCGCGGTTCTCAAATCTATTCGCACTGGTTTGGCGCAAATTCTCAAACGTAGACAACAAGCCGAAATGCGTTGCAGCCACGAAAAATCAAACGTTGCAGCAACATATGGGCTGCTGCGGCGGTGTGCCTAGTACTCGACGGCATATAAATACGCTCCTGTTGCTCACTCTCTTCTCGCATCTTCATCAACACTTTATACCTGTTGCATACCAAAAATGGGTGCAGAGATCGCCATGCTTGTTTTGTTGGTCGAGAAGTCCAAAATCATGGTTCTACCACAAGATGTCCTTTCCGCTGCTGTGCGCTCTCTCGTCTATAAAATCCAAGGACCGCGAGGTCTCACTTCCTTTCACTTCTTTCAACCTTCTGGCCATCGAAAAACAAGAACTTTGAGCTCTGTGTTCTAAAACCAGGGCAGAAGTCGCCATGTTCTGGCTCATCCGATATTCCATATATCTCAAATACGGACATCGTACCTTCCTACCGAGCGTACCCAAAAACACATGGGGTATCTATGTATGTTTTTCCGCTGCACTAGAAAACTGCAAGCCCTTCTTGGATGTTGTGGGCCTGCCGAAACTAGCATGGATTACCTGAATGACTGGTTTCTGCCGAGTCGGCGAAGTCGAAATTCTTCAAATCATGACTAGGTATTCCCATGAGCACCGACGTTTGATGGCTGCTGTATAAAATCCGACTCTCGAGGCTGGATGCTTCTTTATCCTCACCTACTTCACAATACCAACAAAAACAGCAAACGAACAACCCTCATGGGTCTGGCGTCGAAATTAAAAGTTCATTTGCCCTTTCAATGTCTGCTTCTGAAGCTCGAGTCGAAAACTGTACCTTCCAAGGACATTTTGTTGCTTCCTCCAAACCACCTGAAAGGAAGCATATGGTCGAAATGAGAGTACTGAACTCCGCCACGAGGATGTTCAAATCTCCGCTCCTTTCTCCAAAATTATCGTCGAAACCATTCGATGTCGGAAGCAACTATATGCCACCGCTTCAGTCGTTAATTCCGCTTTCTGGGCCGCTGATGTAAACTTCATCAGGGTGGGTCATGTATATGGCTATGATTCGAAGTTTGCAACAAGAGTTTGAGGAGTATAAAAGACCACAAACTGAACGTCAAAGCAGTTATGCAGACTTAATCTTCTACATCCTCAAGCGTTCAAAATCTCGATGGGCCGTCCGTATGTGTTTTTTCCTCCCTAAGCACCAAAGACGGCTATAGTGGCTCTCATGGAGTCAGGAGGATCTGTTAGCTGCGAATAATGCTAGTGTGTTGAAGGCCAGTCTCGTAGATTCTCGAGACAATATTGTTCCGTGAGTCTCTCCAAAACATGTGACAAGCCATGATCTATGTTATAGAAACATTCACGCAGAACTACCGCCCTTTGGAAAATAATGTACCTCATACGCGACACTCCATCGTCCCATCTACTCAACAATCCCAACAACCTTGACCTCATCCGCCCTCCACTTCCTCATCGGCACCTTCCCCAACTCTCCCCTCAATCTCTCCTGATCCCCCCAAACCACCTCTCCAACCTCTTCCCTGCTCACCCAAGCCCAGTTCCCCTTGAGCACACCAACCCCATACCTCCCATCTTCCTCTCCCACCTTAAGCAACCTCGTATCCGACCCCCAAATCCCCGCTTTTTCAGGATCAGAAATCAGCGTATAGCTCCTCTCATGCACAGTCTCGCTATTTTCAAAGACGAGGACTTCAGTCTCGTTGGGCGGGGAAGGGTCGGTTTCGCCTTCTACGTCCGCATCTGGCGGACTGTAGCCTTTCGTTGGGCCTCGCTTCTTTCCTGTTTTGAGGTCACGGAGTTCGACGCCGGCTTTGTTGCGGCCGTGGGGTATGGAGCGTAGGACGGCGATTCCTTTTGTGTTGGCGATGTCGCCGCGAGTAGCGTTTAGACGCCACGCGAGGGTGATGGTGCATGGTGGGTTGCCTGAGACGGATATTGTGTCGGTGGAGGTGAGAATAGTTGGGCGGATAGGCGGAGGCTTGGGAACTGTAGCAAGGGCTTTGAAGGTGTAGTTCGGCAGCGGCGGAGATGGCTGCGGTATACTTTCCGTCTCCGGATTGGGTAAATTGGATGGATCATGTTGCTCACCAGCGTACCATGTCGTGATGCCATGAGACTGGAGACGGATGGTATACGTTTTCCCCGCTACGAAAGATGACGGATCGAGAGTATAGGGCATGGGGTTTGAAACGGTAGTGCCTGGAAGAGTCGACCACATGGTATAGCTGTCGAGCTTTTCGGGGTCTAGTATGAACAGTCGTCGTTCGATGTCCTGATTAGCGGTTTTGGAAGGCACGTAGTCCACACTTTCACCCGTCTCTGCATCGACGATTTCGAACAAACCCTTTGAAAAGGCCGCCTCGGGGTCAAATATGGTGTTTTTGGTGTCGATGGTGAACTTTGAGTGGTAGTCGACATTGCGTACAAGGGTGATGTCGAACGTATCGCTGCAGTCAATGTAGCAGAATGCACTGGTGTAGAGTGTGAACGTTATAGAAGGAGCCATGGTAAGAATCGCGGTATCGGTACCTAGCTGTCGTAGTTCTCAGGTTACCGGTGTAGCGGCGACGAATATAAAGAGTGATGTGTCGGTGGTTCTGTCTTACCATACCCAGGTGATGGTGTGACGTCAACGGCGCTAGTCTCAGGTTGGCCCCCGGGTATCACCAAACCGCCCCAGGCCTTGTTCTCGTCCGTCGCACCGAACATGGATAGTGATACTTTGCATTCCGCCCCCTGATAAAACATTCTCGAGGGCCTGAGGCACAATCGAGATGCTCGTGGGGCGAGGTGACTACACAGCCATCGTGAACTGTCACCTGATTACCTAGGTACGCGCCATACTGTAGTTGTAGCTATACACTTACTGGTGTTTCAGCGCTGCTTATGTCCCGAGGATTATGTTGAGCCGAGTTTTGAGGCTACATGGTAAGTCAAGGAATAAGCCACCCCAAGACGAAGCCAGTCCTTTGTACAAGAGGGGGCCACAGATCCTTCTGCCTTGGACACTATGTTCTTTTGCGATCGGAATAAAACAATGACGCCCTTCTGTACCGAGCGACTGTTGTGGGTTGGAGTTTGAAGACGCCCTGTGCGTTCCTAAACCTTGGCCACTTAGCCCCAGGAGAGGCACCAGACACATCGACATGACGTTGTATTATCCGTTCCTCCGTCTCTCCATCAATCATCTTCTACAACCCCATGGCAAATGTCTTGATCAATCGTCATAGCCATGTTTCAAGGCCCTATTCACATACTCGGAAAGCCCGAGACTCCAGCGACTGCCCCAAAGTTCTGAGGTAAGGCGGTGTTATACCGTTCACTCAGGCGTAATCTGGGGTCTATGAAGGTTGCATGTTGTTTACGTACGATATACCCAAGTCAAAACAGCCCCAATGGATCTGTATAAAGTATTGATGCTCAGGACACTGAAATTTTAACCATACAACCGACCGACTTCTGCCAAGTTTAACTACCTCCTGACACCACGAGCATGTATATCAATCTGAGCATCCTTGCCACAGTGCTTTCAATCAGTCGGCTCAGCTCCGCTAAGCCTATCGATGGGTCAGTCACACTTCTGCCATATCTGGTGGCCATGCAGAACTGATATCTTCTAGGAAAGTACACGCTGTGAAGCGGGACGATCCCGTGTCCTACCCTTACGGCGATGCACTCCCCAACGAGTTCCAGTGGCTGGGCTGGGATCCTGAGGACGAGGATCAAAAGAAGGACGGACAAAAGATACACGAAGCGTTCAAACAATGGGTACGTAGTCTGTCACGCGAAGACGAACCTCCGTTTTCTCTCTTTTGCCTCCATTTTAGAATGAGCGTATTGTTAACGTATTTTCAACTATCTAGGCAGACCTAGCCAAAGCAGGCGTCACAGCAGTCCAAGGGGCTCCCGATAACGTGCACTTCAAACGCTTCTTTGGCACCCAGGGTGCGGCGGACACCACAGCCATTCAGAATACCATGGCAAACATGTACGACAACACGGCAAACACGGCCACAGAAACCATAAAGAAGATGGTTCTAGACCGTAAGGACTTCGGCGACCATTGCGTCAAAGACGGCTGGTTTGCCTACACGGATGCCCCGACTGGGAAATTCCACATATGCCCCAAAGGCATTGCTATGAAGCAAAACTCGGATGTTCAATGCGAGGACTTCAAGCGAGACTGGATCACCTTCACGGCTAGGACGCTACCTTTCGCGATGCTACACGAGTTCACGCACTACGATTCTGTGACCGACGACAGGATTGGTCTGATGGAGGACCACGCTCAAACTTCTTACGATTGCTTCATGCTTGACGAGGACGAAAAGCAATCGAATGCGCAGAATTATGCGTTCAATGCCGCAGTAAGTTTCGCCTTCCATTGACACAACACACCCATGCTAACAGAGACCTCTAGGAGCAATACTGGTCCGATAAATGTCCAGACAAGGACTTCAAGGACCCGCAGGACGTCAGACCAACACCGAGTCCCACGCCAACACCGACACCAACACCGACCCCCGAACCCGAACCCGTAGCCCCCTACGCCGACCAACCGGGCCAATGCCACATCCACGTCAACGAATACGAAACCTGCGACTCGCACGACGAAAATCTCAGCGTCGAAATCACCATGTGGGACGTCTCCGGCGCCCAAATCGGCTACGCCGACAGGACCGTCGCCGGGGCCGGAAACCCACTCATGATGAAGAGCAAGCTAGAAAACACCCTCGAGGTAACACCAGAGAACCAGAAGGATTACATCCAGTTCACCCTCGGCGGGCAGTCGTGGGCGACGAACAAGGACAACGATGAGAGTGCGCCGGCGTATTGTAAGGTTGGGGGCTGGGACCCTAGGGCTGGGCCGTTGTGTAATGAGTTTGATAGTGGTACGGCTCAGGAGTCGAAGAGGCAGATGGATTGTTACTTTCAGTGTCCTTGGGGTGGTGGGGCGACGTCTGATGGATCTTAAGGCTTTCGTAGGAAGGAAGGGCAAGATGGACCAGACGTTTGCTTGGAACGCGAAGGAACTCTGTTTGAATGGAAAACATGGACACTCTTTTCGTATGGCTTGAGGGGAGAAGATTTTTGGTTAGTAACAGCACACAATCATAGAGTAACAGAATGTACAATATATCGTAGAATTGTCACACGTCTCACGTAACACATCTCATCCCATCATCACCACCCGATCTATCAACTACGCATACAAAAGCAGACGAAAACGCTCGGAAAAAACAAGAAAACGAACAGGGGTATCTCAAGGCTCAGACGATATGCAACAAGGACGTTAGAACGCGTCGCTCCCACCGACCGTAACGCCTTGTGTCAGCCAGGGTCGCCTTCTCACGAGCCGGTGAAGAGATGCCAGACAACTGTAAAAACAGGCAGCAAACTCCACAGAACGCCTCAAATGCCGCATGCAAAACATGTAAAAGAAACCTGGTCGTAATTAGCCGCCGGGCATGTTGAGTGCCATCAAGTGGCAGACCTAGAAGTGGGGGCTGTTAGCGGTGACGCCTTACGAAGGCGATGGAGGGAGCTCAAAGATCCATCCTCTCGATGATGCCCTCGCTCATCGTCCGTATCTTACTCACGGCCCTCTCGCGGTCGACGAGTGACTCAACGTCGCTGTCATCGTCGCTCTCGTAGTAATCGGCGTCCATGCTCATGTCTCTGGCTGGCAGGTACCGCTGTTGTTCTGCATCGACGACATCGCCGGGGTGATCAATGACCATGTTGTCGAGCTCATCACTGTCTCCATATGCCTCAAGTCCCTTCCTAGCACGATCGCCGAGCCAGTATTCCGCGCGCTTCCTACTGCCCGCATTCGCACTGGACTCGTACTTCGATGCTTTGAATCTCGACATGAGCGACATGGCGACACTTGGTGAGTTCGACAAAGCCGATATCCCACGGAGATAGAAGTATGCGACTCGCTTCCGCTCCTTGTTGTACAGGAAGAAGTGGTGACTCCAAATCGCACCGTCATCAGCGAAGGGGTCATCTGACGGCTCCCATGCATAGTATTCGCAGCTCGACATGTCCATCTCCGTATCGAGCAGGTGCCAACTTCGCGGACTCCATATCGGTGAGCCAAGTGGTGTGACGGCGCCCGCTGGTAGTCCGGCCGAGTACACCTGTGGGCGAAGATAGTACATTGTAGTGTCGATCTTGTGCATGAAGCTGTGGATGGTCTCGCGACGGAACTCGTCCGGGTTCAGTGTGTTCGCGAAGTCGTAATCGATGTGTGTAGCATTGAGCGTCGCGATGAGGTATGCGAAGGTGTGACGGTTTGCTGCTTCGCTGAAGGATCCGAACGGCGTGTCTCGGGAGATGTCGAGTTGGTCTGCAAACTGAGCTGCAGACTGCTCAGACAGCCCCGCAACTGCTGATAGCAGGTCCTTGTGCCGCTCCTCGAGCGTCCTCTCGATGCGCTTGTACAACTTCTTGTCGCTTCCCGCTGCCTTGATCGTCCAGAGATCGCATCCGCCGATGATTGCTGTGTCTTGTGTGTCGAAGTTGAGGGCGAGGTTGACCTCGTGGAGGGCGCACAAATCGAGGTACTACGGTCCCACCGGGTCAGCTATGTCGTCACTCTGGCCTTATCGCATCGAGCACTTACCTTCATTGCGCTTGATGTGGACTCGTTCGGGCTGAGTGCCTATTATAGGATATATCGCGTATGATCCGAAATCTTCGAGATGCGGTATGATTCAGCGCGCCGTGGCTGCTGGGCGTGGGTGTGGCTGTGGTCGGAGGGGGTAGCCTGCGCGAACCGATACAACAAGTAAACACGACTCTAGGCTGGCTGCGGAGAGGAGAGGGTACTGTCGTTCGGCCAGACGATCGTCTAGCAGGCAGTGGACATATGTATGGCTTGGGCGTGGTAGTGGTGTGAGATGTCGGTGTCGCTGTAACGACGTGGTCGCGATTGCGGAGAAGGTCAGCTTGGCGGTGTCGCCGAGCTAACAGCAGCATGTGTGTCGGGTTGTCCTTCCTGATTGGTCGATGCGCAACCTGCCTCTCAACCAACAACAGCTGCCGATAAGAGTGGATGGGTAGGCGACTGGTGTTGAGTGTTGATGTTAGTTGTATGAGTCCATGCCGAGTGTGTCTGGTACGCGGGGCATGTCATCTGATGGTTGAGCACGTGAAGGATAGATGATGCCTGGAGATGAATTCACATGAATTCGGCAACGTATCATTTGATGAATGCATGTCAAGGTTCTGGATGAAGGACCAAACGCTGATCCGAACCAATTGCTGTCACGAAGTGCAGGTGCGCAGTGTCTCGGCGGTGTGGAGACCTGTAGCTAGATGAATAAGGTAAGTGTACCAGCATAAGGAAAAAGAAAAAGGGAGAGAGTTGTCAAGTCTATCAGGGTGAAGTCTCGATATCATGATGTGTGATCACGTTCGAGCCCTTGAACCGCTTGTGTCAAACCTAGCTGTGTCGAGCAAGCCCGCCAGTCCGAGGTGTATGAATTGTAGTAGATAGAGTACAGCTACCGCCATCCGCTCTACAAGGCAGGATGGCAGGTAGTGCGTTCTCCAGATGATCCAACCCCTGCGCCGTGTGATATCGTTTCGCTCTTGACGCCTGCCCTTGGAAAGATGTTTAGCATGAGCCGCGTTGTGACAGTCGACTGTGTGCCGTAGCCCTACCCCAAACTCCAATAACGCCGTATCATGTGTGTTCGTATGCGGATGTCGGATCGGGTCTACAAGATGCCGCTCTCTCGAAGTCGGCCTTTGAATTCATCCGCGTTCTGGAAGCCATCAGGCGCGGTCAGTGGGGACTCTTGGGACGGCGATGACGGAGGGCCAGAAGGTGAGGTGCGACAGTGCGTTCCGTACACGTTTTACATAATCTTGGTAACGATATCGTCCTCAGCCTGACGACAGGGCGCGTCAGCCAGCTGGCGCTGTGGGTGCGTGCGGCGAAACAGACCCGAAAGTCATCACACCTCACTCACCTCCATATCTTCGAGGCTGTCTTGCTGTCCTATACACCGGAGCACGTTCTTTTTGCTGCTCTCTTGCATCTCACCGGCAAGCAGTAGCTCGTCCAGGATGAAGTAGGCCTTTTGGAAGTTGAAGATGATGTCGAGCTCGCAGACGTTGCCGTAGTACTTGTCCATCTGCTCGACGTAGCGGTGGACGATTTCGAGCGTGATCAGCTCATTGTCGGTCGAGTCGCAGCCGGCGATGAAGAAGAGCGAGGCATATCGGCGATATACGATCTTGGTGTCTGAAAGTGTGAGCTAGCGAAGCTCTTACCCATGCCGGACCCACTGACCTTTGTACTCTAGAAAGTTGCACATGCGGGTGCGACGGGCGAGGACGAGTTGCGAGACGTCTTTGACAATCTTGGCCTTGTCTTTGGGGGCGAGCGTGGTGAACCACTTGGCTAGGCGCTGCGAGCTTCAGCAAGGGACTTTAGATTCTAGGGTGAGGGACCAACCACTTTGCCCTGCCGGGACAGCAGAATAAGGTACCTGGGCTGTTAGCACTATAGTCCGTTATGGGCAGTGTATGGAAGTGCATCTTACTTGATCGTCATGGTGTCGTGTGAGGAGAAGATGGCAGTAGCTTGTGTCTGGCGCAATGGGGAAAGATGTTAGGTTCGGCGATCGGCGGTCACAGGCCAGCCCCGCGACTTTGAGACGTCAATGCGCCCTCATATCCCCGCTATCACCATTGAAGTCTTGACAGTAGACATTTGCGCGCAAGCAATCCTGCTCTTAGCGCATTCCTACTAATCATTGCCCAAAGCCTTGCGATTCAAAATATTTGCGCTACTGCACATCCGACGCGACTGCTATCCTAAGACGACCCACCCGCTGACAAACGTTCACCCTTCATCGGCAACTCGAATACCCCCGAAGAGTCACCACCACACAACATAGGAGGCTCTTTCGTCAGAACTGTTCTATCTTGCGTGATCATTCCGCGACACTCCTATTCGCAATCATGAAGCTTGTACTATCTACGTCGTATGTTTCTCCATCTCTCCATCTCTCCAAATGCCTTACCTAACAACCCAGAAATACCATGTCCGGTGGTCCTTCCGTGATAAGACGACCCTTCTTCGAGAAATCAAACACCGAACTCACCTCCTCCCTGCGCGCAAACTTCGCTGCCCACCAACCCTCTCCAACACCCTCAAAACCCGACTACACGACATGGACCACCAAGACCGACTCCGCCCTATACGTACCCACGCATACGCCCTCCCCTCTTACCGAACCGCGAGAATCCTACGATATCACAGTCAAACTGTTCTACCTCCCCAACATACCCACCGACAGACGCTGCGCACAAACAAGAGAAGCGATAGAACTAGTGCTGAAAGAGCTGGGCACATCCTCGATAGATCTCCTCATCGTCAGCTTCCCCGGCGTATCTTTCGACGCCGACGATGAAGATTCCGATCTCGACGAGGACGATGAACCGCCCTCGCCCCCCTCCGCAACACAATCCACAACCGAAAACACCACCGGCGACTGCCCCGACGCCGGCGCACCACCAGAAGACTTAGAGACCATGGTAACAACGTGGCGGTCGCTAGAGAAACTGCACGCAGAGGGCCTGGTATCGAAACTCGGAATCGCAGAATTTGGCGTCGCGCGCTTGACGAAGTTCCTCGAACAGACCAAGATAAAACCGAGTGTGAATCAGATCAACGTGCGGGATTGCTGTGTCGTACCCAAGCCGTTGATACTGTATGCGAAGCAACAGCAGATCGAGCTGCTGACACATAATGACTGCACCAACATCTTACCGCGCGGCACGCTACGGCAAATACTTGGTTGGGGAGAGAACGGGTCGGGTGTGTTGGCGGGAGAAGGAAATCAGGACGGCCTCAAGGGTGATGTAGAGCCGCAGTGGGTAGTCAAATATACGGCTGTTGTCAAAGATAGGGGTGTGGTGGAAAGTAAAGGGTACTTTGCTGTTGCAGAGTTGAGGGACTGATAGAACACGAAGAAATGGAATCACTCAAATCGAATACAATGTTCAGATGACTCTGACCATGACAATTTTAATTACACATATATCAGGCGTCCACAGACTACTCCGTGCTCGCCCATGAGTAACCACCGACTGGCTGCTCTTTCTATCATGGAAACGGCGCAAGCGCTCCGCATACTTTACAGTTCAGCAGTTCTCCGTGGTGTCCCAAGTTCGCAGATACCAGTGGCTTACCACACTTCTTACATTTCGACAGGTCGACGCCACCGTTCTCTACTTTGGGGTATGCTGGTGGTGACTGCGCTGGTCCGCTTGCGCTGGTCTTGCCCTTTGGTTCAGTGTAGCTGTTCATCGTAGTTTTTATGGGTGTTCGGTAGGTGTGGTAGATGTTTGCTTGTGTGCGTGTATGTGTCTTTGGTAGTCGGCGTTTGGTTGGGTCGACTAATTCGGGCGGTAGTAAGAGAAAGGATTTGGAGGGCATGTGCTAAATACAATATGATCATTCACCATGTAAACCCATACTGTGCACTTCACTGCGAGTACTCTACTACGTTGTAGAATGTCAGTATGGGTCTCCTAGAAGACTCTTGATTATTCGTCTTCAACTTATGGACGCTGCTCGTTCATGGAAGAACATTGGCGCCAGGCTTCACCACAGCATGGGCCTCTTCGACAGACTGAAGTGCTACGTACGCGACTGGTGGGAAGTTTGACAGTGAAGTGTGTATGCAGCTATTCGCTGGACTTTCAGCTTCACGAAGCCTCCACTGTGAATACATGAGTGCATCACGGAGCCCACATACATAAGCTTTTCGGTAGCCCGTCATGCCGCCCTCATATCTCCAATCTCTTCTAACAAACATCCCGTATACAAAAGCGAACACAACCTCCAATGTCCACACAAACCAACCCTCCAATCAAACAGTCCGCCAACACTGTACCAAACACCTCATACGAACACGAGCAGACCTCAGAATCCGAAACCGACCTTCTCATCCCTTATGTCTCCGACGACGACGACGAAGATGAAGAAGAAGACTCCGATCACGAACCTGATGCCTTCGGCCACTGCTGGCACTGCGACGCCCCTTTACCTCTGCCCACCTCAGATGAAACCAACGTCGACTGTCTCGAATGTCAGTTTCCGAACTAATCGCGCGGCGGACAAACGACTAATATGGCTAGGTCATCAATGCGGCGGCTGGTTGGGTCCACCTTGAGTGGAATGACGGAATGATTGGAGTGGGATGCGGCGTTGGATATTGAGCTTGTGCCGCTCTAGAAGGGATGCTAGAGGATATAGATATAACGGAGAATGCATCTTCCCGAGTACATGCCCATCGCCAGCCTATTCTCATGTAGCTTAATCTCTCTTTTTCTATTCATATATCAAGGCAAAGACATTCTACGTTTTGCTCCATGAGCCAAATCACTCTAGCAGTGATATACATTTCTCATCCAGTCTGTGCTATGACAGTCTAATTCGGCTGTGTCAACCTCCAATAGTTCCTAACCGAGATATGTCTACTTCCTCTAGTGAAAGTGCAGAGAGTGCGCTCACTCCCACGCACACATCCGTGCATGGCTGCTCAACATGTTCTCAAACCATGGCAGCATTACGCATTCACTCCTCCGCATCGTCGGTCAACCGTGTTTGGCCCCAGCACACAGCGGACCCTCGGACCCTTTCCGTTGTATCAACAGTCTACATCAACGTGGCGCTCTGGGGGCTTTCGCAACCCAGCTCAAGCATATGCTTGCGAAGTCCAATAACTCCACCACCGAGATCAAAACTAACAGCATGACTGATATCGACGTCAATTCCAGAAGCGCCACCATGTCCACTCAAAGCAAATCTAAGCCGCTTGAGGTTTACTTTTCAGTATATGGTTCTGCCCATACAAACCCTGTTTTACTCAGCGTCTCTGGTACCACGTCCTCAACTCCCACTCCTCGTTCCCCTTCTACACCTACTTCAAGGTACACACCCCCATCTCTACCCTCAACCTCATCCACGCCGCTAACACCACCCGCATCAACCAGCGTCACCTCATCACCCTCACCCTGCTCTTCACGATCCTCTCCCTCTCCTCCCACCACGCACAATCACAGCATGTACGTTCAAACCGCCAAAGGCATCTACTACCGAGACGAGGGAGAGAAAGACAGGCACGGGAACGTAATGATCTTAAAAGACCCCTGTGAAGATTGCGGAGGGAACGTGGTGTGGGCGACAAAGGGGCCGTGGTTGTTGATTTGTCGGGATTGTGGGGAGATTCAGTAGGGGAGAGAGAGGAGGGGGAGGAAAAAGGAAGAGAATACAGTAAGAAAGAGTTCAGAGAGATGAGGGATAAAAGACATGTGTATAGGTAATGGCTGTGTAACGCGCGAAGATGGGTTGTATGTAGTAGGTCGTTTACGTTTATTGTCTTTGGTCTTGCGAGAATAACGGATGAAGTGCATCTGTTAGAGTCGTCAAGACTGCCGGACAAGATATCCAAATCGCGGTTGACTCATTAGACTTCGTTCCTAGCTTGTAGCGACTCTGTTCCAAGTGTTCCCAAAGTCTCTTTGAGATGCTGTCGTGCATACATCGCGTAAGGCTCACCAGTCTTCAAATTGAATGAGTATCTCGAAGAATACCATTTACTGCAGCATAATAATCACCTGATCCGCAGCACCATCATTCACACGCACCCAATCCAAGTGCGTGAGACCAGCGCGTGTCCTGAGTGCCATTGCAATGGGAATTCGTCATATCAAACTACGACTAGAAAGGACATCCCTTCAGCTCCTCATTCCCAATTGGACGGCCGCTGGAACCAGATGCGCGGACCCAGCGGGAGCAAGCGCTTGGGTAGAGACGCCGTCCATCCAAGCGAGATCCCCATCAGGAAATCCCTTTGTCCCTAACCATGCGGGCCGTTGGGGTCTGGAAAGTGTCGCTGGTGCGATGAGACCGTGTTTCGGGGTTTGGAAGGAATGTGCATGTCGGAGATGAACTGTTCCTTCCGGTCTTCGCCGATGAGGATCTGGGTATATAGACTTGGCTATACCTGGCCAGCGCGTATAGTCTCACAATGGATAGCAACATTGCGCTACGTTATCAACACTATCGCATCGTCTCGATGCCCACATCCTCGCGTACGATAGCACATCGTTAGGCCTCCAAAACTTTGGTACACAAATGTCGAGATACGTTAGCGCCATCAAATCGACAGCTAAGCGTCAAGCGGCGCATCACACGCATATCCTCATCATCGTCTTTCGTGTCAGCAAACTCAAAGTTGGTGGCGCAACGCCCTAGTCCAGGCACACGTCCCACCGTGGGTCAAGATGTACACCGATCAGGAGGAATATCCACGAGGTCGCCTTATCGATATGGATTAAGTTTGCCGTGCCGCATGTCTGCTTTCTTTTGGTGGATGGAATGGGACAAGCGACGCCCATCCCAGCGCTACTGCGACCAAAACGTCTGCCAGTGATGGTCAGGTGCCACACACCCTCCTGATAGTATCGCCGTCATGGAGCCGACGGCAGTGTGTTCGTACTTTTTGAATGGTTTGCAGAGTGAAGTTCTATTGATTAGGGGGATCGAGATTGATGCTCCAAATTCGAGATCGATGTTTACCTCACCGCAAATCCACGTTCGCGCCGAGTTTCCACTTGCATACAAATAAATATGCAATTTGTCGCAACGAAGTCTCGTAGCCCGTCAACCGCTGAGACCCGCTCCGGTATCCGGGAGCTTGAGCAGAGTGCGGTTCCTTAGTGTCCAGGGGACGATCAACGACCCTGTTGGTTATTGGTTCCCATCCGAGCGCGTCTGATGCAAGGGGTCGAGGGTCCAATGAGTGCTCGTAACCACCCACCACAGAGAAGAAAAAGGATTGTGTCTTACATGCACTACACGCACTAGAAGGAGCTGCAGTATCGACAATACCGACATGGTTGTGCAGAACGTCCTGGAAAGCTTAGTCGAACAAACAACCCTTACGTTGGATTTGCGTGAAGGATTGTTCTTCGTACACGTCGCAAGTGAGCTCCGCGCTTTCCTGCAATCCTCCATGCAGGCTGACCAGCTGTGGGAAGCAAGATAGACTTCTGACGAGAGCTGGACGAAACGTGGTGCTGACTGGCGCGCGGGTCCTGGTAACTTTGCTTTGCCCTTGCATAGTTTTCATGTAAAGGACTCACTTCGGAAGCGTGCAGTCAGATCCAACGACAAACCTATCGCGCTTATCACCAAACGGGTGGTGTGAGCTGAATTGCAGTTCACATCGAGTGCCGGATGGTTTCCAGCTAACTGTATAGGTGTGCAATCGACCAATAAGGTTCCTAACCGGGACGACATCAGAGGCGACCGTCGGTCACTCCGTTGCGGGGTTCCAGGTCAGAGGTTATCACGAAGTGGCGCTGCGTCCGGCGTGCCTCAACCAGCTGTCACCTTCGTCTCGTTGCAGTATTCCTTAGCGAAAGAGGGGCGCGCAATCGAGGGGTCGATAGCAGTAGCTAAAGCTGAGCTATCAGCTGCTGCGACGACTGGCCAGAGCTTGATAGCCAAGGATAGAGAGGCGTATGCATGCTGATGTTGTCTAGATCTGCTAGTACCGCAGTGCAGGACGCTGATCGTTGGAATTCGGTCGCCATTCCGGTGAGCAGTGATCTGAAGATATGAAGCCATGCTTTTCTCTGCGTCTGGAACTGCCGGTACGTAGGCGATGGTTTCAGGTGTGGTAGTAGGGTGTGGGGTTGGAGCATCTGGTTCGTCTGGGGAAGAAGGCGGCCTAGACTTTGGACCGGTCGAACAGCCGGAAGCGAGCGGGAGGCAACGAACGGCATTTAGATCACGTTGGACGACCAGCTGAGTGGTTTACAGCATGATGAACCTTTTTCTGTTGGGAATGCGCGTGGTTGGATGTAAGCATATCGAGAGTGCGGCTCTGCGGACCCAGGCGGCGCTCCTTCGCTCTGTACACGTCGCTGGGTGAGGGATCGCATTCGTGTACAGCCAGCAAATTACCCGGCCCACCTAGCAACGCAATTTCCCGCATGCACTCGTTGCCTTGGTTGCAGGGCTATGTCAAGCCAGCGAATGTGCCGATGGTGCTCGTGGCATTATGACGATTGCTCAGGATAAAAAAACAATGCTCGCTTCGCTCGGGTCTGAAGTTTGTCTGTGTGGCTGTCAGGTGGTGTTCAAGCAGGGGAGGCGCAGCTGTGGCGGCGGAATGTTTATTGGCTGTAGCGCCGGCAAATCTCAGTGCGCTTCCCCCTTTGGGTAAGAGGGCAAACGAGGCGCCGGAGATTGCCAATTTCGTCCTTCCTGAGGATCAAAACAGACGTGAAACGAGATTCGCAATTTTGGGTCTCCGTACGCCTCGCAACCTGGCCAGCGAAAACAATACTTCCAAGAGTCGGAGTATCCTAGGAGATGTGGATGGTCGGATGGGGCAACCTCCGTCGTCCATCCCATCGTACATCGGCAGGCGCGACCTTGCCCCTGACTTCAGTTTGGTAGCTACGCGTCATAGAGGCCGTTGTTGACGATACGACGCTGCTTGACACTGACAAGTAACGACGCGTCGGCGGGCGCCAGCGGAAGGTTTGGTGCAGGGAGTTTGGCGCGTGAAAACCAATGGGCTGACCCGGAGACGTTCGCATGGTGTGGAGCAGCGCCGTGGCTGTGCAATGCCAGAGCTCTTGGGTAGTGATCGCGCTTGCGCAATTCCAAGAATAATACAAACGACTCTATGTATGTAGAGTTTTCGGGAAAGCAGAGGCGCGGTCCGTGGTTGCAGGCTGGAGGCATCGGGTCCTGTACCCAAGGATGAGGGGATAACCTCTGTAGTACGATGCTTTTTCGTTCACCGCTCCACTCGACACGCGATCGGAAAAAAGAAAGACAGATCTAAAATCGACGGCGCAGCATGAGCGTTGCGACGGCCGTTGTGTGCACTACGCTCCACAGATCGGGTTGTTAGTACCGAGCGGCGCGATACGTGGTAACCTTCGGACTCGTTTCAAGATTGGAATCGTCGTATCCTCGCAAACATGCTCACTATGGGGGCCTTGGCAGCAATGTTTTCCGTCTGCAAATGGCAGGAAGCAGTGGATCAAGAAAAATGAAGTCGAGTTTTTCAATTGCGGGAC